TATATATATGTGTGTGTGAGTGTGTGTGTGTGTTTGTATGTATATATATATATGTATGTATGTATGTGTGTGTGTTTGTGTGTATGTATGTATTTTCTGTATGAATATATTTATATGAACATTATTTAATCTATGGGTACTAATCTTTTATAGTCCATGTCTTTCTGTTGTCAGGAAGGAGATCTAGATGATGGCGAGAGCCTTGAAGCTGTTGTAGAGAAAGTGAGAGCCATACTTGGCCCAGATGCGTGGCTCGTTGGTCAATCGATTGACAGCGATATAAAATGGATGCACTTAGAGAAGGGCAGGGACTATAAGGATATCATAGAGCTCAGTAAGGAGTTCACAACTTTCAATCCGAAGTACCAGAACTACTCGTTCTTCTCTCTAGAGCATGAAGGTGGGTGCTGTGTGTATGTGTGTCGTATACATCTGTCGCTTGTCTACACTCTTGCACCCGATATGTCTGAGAGTCAGATTCAATAGTTCACCGTCGCCTCCCAAGTGTATCTGCTCACGGTTGGAGGTATACATTTCTAACTTATTGGCGAGTTTTTTGGATTGGTTCGCCGTATTTTTTTTCGCGTAGGAGCCTGATTGTAGTCATGTACCAATTCCCTTCACCCGAGTTTCGCACAAACCTTTGTAGGTGAGCTTGCATCTTTCGCACACGCATAAGTCCAAAGTCGCGCGCCATTCATTGCAGCCCATTCAATCGAATGTATCAATTGACGGGCTACTTGCTTATGTTTATCTGCACACAGCGCTGGTGTTGATGGGAGTCGACTTGTCGGCTAAGGGGTACCATGATCCAGCAGAAGATGCCCAGGCCTCGATGGAGCTGTTCAAACGTTTCTGCGAATATGGGGATGTCGAGACAAAGGAGCTCTTCGGAATTGTATGTACCTGGCTGCGCCAACTAATTTGTAGAGGCATGGAGGGACAGAGTCTGACTGTATTAGTAGCTTTAGGTATATTCAAGTGCTTACCCAGTTTTATAGGTATCGGGTAGATCTTGGTTCTGTAGATTGTGGGCCTGGCTTTATGTGAAGTTGTTGTTAGGTGGTGGTGTTAACGATGTCAAGGCATCGGCATTGCGATTTTCAGTCGAGATGTGGTTCACAGCGTGTGGAGTGCTGTTGTGGGGAGACTTATGTTTTTGAAGAAGCAATAATAACTTGAGAGTGTCTGTGCATATGCTGATCAATGCTTGACCGTTTAACTTGGGAGTGTCTGTGCATATGCTTATCAATGCTTGTCCATTTAACTTGGGAGTGTCTGTGCATATGCTGATCAATGCTTGATCATTTAACTTGGGAGTGTATGTTGATAATGCTTGATCATTTAACTTGGGAGTGTCTGTGCATATGCTGATCAATGCTTGATCATTTAATTCGGGAGTGTCCGTGCATATGCTGATCAATGTTGATCATTGACGGCATACCCGGATGTGTGCATATCTGGGCCGGCATCCGTAAAGAAAGATAATTCCCGGAGTCAAATAAGCGATTCCACAAGAATATTCACGTGCGTGTTCTCCGAAATGATAGAGCATACCCAGACACTCGAGGGCTGGCCTAGATCCGTTCAAGTGCGATCTCACATCATACACAACCTATCAACACATAGTTTTTATTTCATTATACACAACCTATCAACTCCTTATACACAACCTATCAACACATAGTGTTTGTTTTCCTTATACGCAACCTATCAACACATAGTGTTTTATTTTCCTTATACACAACCTATCAACACATAGTGTTTATTTTCCTTGTCCCTCCTCACTGTCTTGCAGGCGAAGGAGAACCTTATACGAGTACGTACGAAACCGTCCATGGCAAAACGGAACAACTACAACATGCACGGTATATGTATGGCGGCCTTCTATCCACCAGCGTGTGTGTGTGATGACGAGACTTTAGTTGCGGACGACCTGAAAGAGAAGATGATGGCGCAGGCGCGGGACCGGGAGCAAGCGAAGATTAAAAAACAATAGCGGAGGCTTAGGCAATATTATATCTCAGAGTACTCACTTGTGGCGATTCAGCATAAGTGTTGACAAACTTAGGCAATAATTAGATATTTTCTGTCCCGAGTAATGGTATACGAGTGTGCGAGAGTGCCATACATTCGATCGCCGATGATTCGAGGTGATTGTGGGGGACTTTAGCGTCAGCTTATACCATCCAAGTATCTGAGTGCTTGTATACGAGGGTTTTGGAACTGTGTGCAGTTGCAGTATATATATGTGAGTGTACCGCGCTCCACCACACTCACCTCTAGATGCGGGCAGGTCAGACTTTCGTATCAATCATATCAATCTAGCTTACAACCCTCTACACCCACCTTAGACTTCCAGGGTTCGTATTTTGTCTCTGCAAGACGCTGAGCAATCGTCGCTACGAGCAACGACGCTGCCTTGAAGTCAATTTGCTGCCCACGAAGATATCGTCTCCAGCTACCTTTATTTCCACTTGACATTAAACTACTGTGTGTGCATAAGCGATGACGGACTCTCGGCCAGGAGACAAGTTACACGTATTGGTATGAAGGAATGTGATGTTCGATATGGACAAATACCATTTCAGCGTGGTCTCACAGCTTTTAGATATTTTGCTGTTCTGGCGCATAGTGCGTTTCATCTGAATCTAGTACCGAACATTGGCAGTTCTAGTATGTATCCGAGTGGTTGCCGCCACTCATTGTGACATCATAGAACGGGCGAGTTCAACTGAGGAAGAGAGTGTTCGCATAAGGTTGATCGAAGACGATATCTAATATACCTTTACCATGCGAATCTAAAGTAGGAGTGTTGTCAGGGCCGTCATATGTATTTTATTTCCATCTCGCGCATATCATGCCAATAATAAGATCGAAAAATCCCGTGAGAGCGGACTAGTCTCGTACACTAGCAATTCACACAGATGAAATCGAATTGGATGTCATGCCATTTTCTGGTACAAACACCCTGCCTCGCCATATACAATGCTCACTTGAGCTACTTTACATGAGGCTAGGTGGGGCTCCTTTAAGTAAAACCATTGTGTTTGTAATCGCTACTAATGTATATACTGTGCGGAATCGATGGCGCCCTGACATAGAGTTCCCACATGGTCCTGTAGAACGTCTGCGCTAAATTTATGACTGTCGTAGAGAGACACTTGACTTCCGCTCGAGACTTAAATCTGGATCCCATCAGATACTCTGGGTGGCGCCGCTAGCGCACACGCCCTGCCGACTGCGCGACTCAAATGCAATAATCGCAGGGCTATTATGACCAATAAGAGTGTTGATTCGTTGTTTATGCCCAATAAGAATGTTGATTCGTTGTTTATGCCCAATAAGTGTGTTTTGATTCGTTGTTTATGCCCAATAAGTGTGTCTTGATTCGTTGTTTATGTCCAATAAGAATGTTGATTCGTTGTTTATGCCCAATAAGTGTGTCTTGATTCGTTGTTTATGTCCAATAGGAGTGTTGATTCGTTGTTTATGCCCAACAAGTGTGTTGATTCATTGTTTATGCCCAATAGGAGTGTTGATTCGTTGTTAATGCCCAATAAGAATGTTTATTCGTTGTTTACGCCCAATAGGTGTGTCTTGATTCGTTGTCTATCCCCAATAAGAATGTTGATTCGTTGTTTATGACCAATAAGAATGTTGATTCGTTGTTTATGCCCAATAAGAATGTTGATTCGTTGTTTATGCCCAATAAGAATGTTGATTCGTTGTTTATACCCAATAAGTGTCTTGATTCGTTGTTTATGCCCAATAAGATTTTTGATTCGTTCTTTATGCCCAATAACAGAGTTGGATCGTTGGATATTCTTTTGTATCTGTATACTTCGGATCACGAATAATTTTGTGCAAACTGCCATGATTTGTAATATTTTATTCAAGGATTTGATTTCTATCGAATTATTTTTCCGAGCATCGGTATACTGGCAGATTATACATAAAATGCACTCATTCTTTACATTCGTTTCGTTGATGTCATTATAGGCCTTTAAAAGTGACCAACAAAAGTAGACATCACAGTTACTATTCTTGTAGATAGGCTTACTCACATCTTTGGAAATCCACTTGAAATCCCAGACTATCCGACTCCATCTCACTACTATCCTCCTCCCCATCCAACATCACCACCACTACATCATCTACATCCGACTCCATGTTCGACTCTACTCTGTCCACAGTTGGCTCCTCAGTTCTATTACCCCCGGTCATAATCACCGACTCTTCGCCTTCCATCAGCACCTCTGAATTCAGCTTGCCCTTTCCGTTTACATCTAATCTAGCACCGAACGCTCCAGAGGTAACTCGCACCGAAGCATCGCTAGTCATCCTGCCCGTTCTGGTCCCTCTGGTGAATACGCCTTCACTTGTATCGCCCTTAGAGATCATACCGCCCTTCTCCATGGCTTCCACACGCACCTGTCTGTTTTCTAACAGCTGGATCACCTCTGGACTGATTCTGAAGCGTGGGATGAGGTTCATCCGCACCAGTGACCGTACATGCTCAGCCGTCGGCTCGAACCATTCCAGCACCTCATTCCAATCAGTGTTCTTGTGCGACATATCATCCGGGAACTCGATTGGTTGGGGCCCAATTGGGACTTCGGCAGGTGCGCTGAAGTCGAGTGTATCGGTACTCGGACTGGCTTTCTTGAAAGTTATGCCGTACAGCTCAGCCAGCTGGCTCTCCAGCTTGATCTGAACGTATCCTGGGACGTTGAGCAAGCGCGGAAAGATATACTTCTGAATCAAACTCCGCACTTCAAAATCTACATCGCGATCGCGATGATCGGCTTCTGTACCTGTTCTTTTCTCGTCCAATCTCTTCAACAGAACCCGTATATCGCACAGAAACTGGGGCATCTCGGCACAGTGTTCCTTCTCTGCGAATTTGATGAGCAGTTGTCTTGTTTCATAATCACTGATAACGAACGAAACGTTCTCCATGTTGATGACTTGATTGGCGTTACCCGCCAGATTCAGCGTGTCCAGGAACTTGTAGTCATAGTCGCGTGCAATGGCCTTGAGGGTCAGCAGTAAGAAATAATCCAATACTCCGCCCAGTGAGAGGATAACAAGCTGCCATGAGATCCAGAAAGCGCTCAGCATCTTTGAGTTTCGCCAACCCGTGTAACCGTATCCCAAGATGTACGTGATTCCCCACAGCGACACTAGCCGTGCTGCTTGCCACCAGTCCACGAAAATCAGAGCGGTTTGCTCGTTCCTGTAGAGCATGACCGTATAGAACATAAACTCAAGCACGATTGCCCACACGCTAAAAGTGATGAACACGTAATCGTAGTAGACTGAACAGTTATCAACGTCCCAGTAGCACCAGAGATGTCCTGCGATAATTATGGCAACGAGAAACAAGTGCCAGGGGAGCATGATCCAGTAGTATGACCGATATCTGAACTGTCTTACAGTAAAGACCAGATACATAAACCGTTGCCGATTCACCATGGGAACCAGCAGGAACATTACGGCAAAGAACGCCATGAGTGAGGTAGCTGTCAGCAGCAACTGCCCGTTGAGACCCGGATCGTACGAGATCTGAAAGCACGGTATGGCGACGAAAAAGATGCCTACCAGCGGGATAATTAGAGCGCCGGATAGTAAGTGCCACGTGAAGATCTTGTGCCGACTGCGCACTTCCGGAGAATTGCGCACCCAGTACACCATGGCCACCAAAATCATTACGACAATCTGAGGGGAAGAAAGACAGATGGATAGGTAAGTGCCAGATATTCTTTCAAGAGAAACGGAACTGTCTCGACAGCAAATGGATAGTCAGTCACAACTTGCATGTGTGTCACTAAAGGTGCGCTACCACATGGGCGTGTGTGTTAGTATTCGATGACAGTAATCACTACGTATACTTCAAATCGACCAGCCTCAACCTACTAAATGTAGATTCGAGCAGACAGCTTGATGTGTGTTGGGTTATAAACACCATAGGAATATACGTTGCATCATATATATATGTATAAACAAATACAAGCCTTCTTCAAACATTCAAAACATACCTCCACTGCAGCAAATGATGTCCAGGAAAGCAAGAAGATCTTGTCGAGGGCTCTGGCTCTGCTCTCATCTATAAACGCACCAGAAACCTGGACTACGATATCCATGGCATCCATACCTATGGCGTTGAAGTACGCCGTTCCTGTAACAACACCAGAAACCTGGATGTCAGTAAAATCGGGCTGAAACATGACACAAACAACAGCATGATTGCCTACTCGTGATTGAACCTTCTTTAGCTATGTTTGCTGCCTTGTAGATGCACGTATACGAAAGATGATTCACTCTGTCTAGTTACACACACCTAATGCTGCGGGTAAAATCGCCGCGGCTTCATCCCTGTCAGTCTCGAAACTGGCGAGTTTGGCCATTTCGGTCTCCACCAAAGTCACAAGAGCGCTGCTATCATTGTACAACGTCTCAGCAAACCCTACGACGATATTAGCCATGCGGTCCAGAGCGACCGATTCATTCCCTTGTGATGCGAACTTTACCGCCATGGCTGCCAGCCCTAATCTGTCCACCGCCGTGTCGACTGGTAACTCCTGAAAAGATAAGCCGTGGAAAAACATGAATATATAGATACGTTTATGTGTATATACGGGAGAGGCGATACTTGTTACGTGTGGGAAGGAGCAGAGTTAGGACATTATTGTTGACGTTGCACAACACTTCAGTTCCCATACCCTTGTGGCTGCTAGTCGAGGACTGAATTGTAATCCAATCAAAGTGAAATTCGCGAGCGCGGTCAATACTGCGAAGCACCACATAGAATAATGGATCGCCACTCGAAAGATCAAACGTAAAGGGACATACCGAAGACAGAGCGCCCAACGCATGAGCAGTCCTGTTGTAAACATCCGCCTCAGTCATATTTTTGTCGTACATCTTATCTACGAATGCTTGTGACAAGCCTTCCCCAAACCTATATACTAACTGACTGCTGTTATACCCTGATTCTTGTTCTAACCTCGTATGCAAATTCATCTGTACGTCTTCAACGGTCGGTATTCTATTTTCGTAAAGGTAAATTACGTATCCAAATATAGGCAAGAGCACCAGGAAGCTGAAAAGATACCCGCCGATACCCCATAACAAACTGACCCTTTGTACCTGAGACGATTGGTGACAAACAAGAGTATTGAGAATTTACGTTGAGGTTGAAATATGTGGAAGGAGGATAGAAAAATATATATCTTAGTATATTTCTAAATATAAATCTAAAAAATCTATATATATATATATATATATATATCTATATATCCATGAATCTATAAATCTATAC